AATCTGACCACTTTTAAGCATCTCTACTCTGTGGCTCTGATTCGGGCCAGCATCACTGAGGTTTGAGCAGGAATGTGTCATCTGAGATGCTTAGAATAGAAAGAGCCCTTCAAGATCATCTGGGCCAGTAGCTGTCACTCTGCCCTCTGTTGGATGCTCGCTGTTCATGAAGTGCCCCCATATTACTGCAGGGACCAGTGGGGAGCTGAGTGGGAGGCTTTTGGGTGACCTCCCCATCCGCAGCCTCAACCAGAGCAGCTTGGCTGTTATCTGTTTCACATATTTGGTTTTTGCGTTAGATTTATTTGAAAAACAGGTTCCATTGCTTTAAAAAATTTAAAAACTGCTGGTAGAAATTGAAGCCCACACTACATTCGGTTTTTGAACATTGCTACCACAGATTCATTCCTGCATGCACTTGAGACCTCTCTCTCCCTGTAGCACTGATCTTATGGCTATAGTTGAAGGCCAGCTAGTTGCCAGGCTGTTCTCTTCTCATCTGGCGTGCTCATTGGTACCAGAATAATCTTCCTCTAACACAATCCATTGCACAAGGCCCAGATGAAACCCAGATGGGTTTGTATATTCAGCTGAGGCTCTGTCTTTGTTCCGAGAGGCTGCAGAGTGATGAGAGTCTCGGTCTATTTTTCTTCTAGACCACTTGGAGGGCAGGGCCAGGGATGGCCTGGAGGCAGGGATTCCTTTAAGTCAACTGTCGCTTTTGGACAGGGAGGCACCTGTAAGCCTGGAGTCCTGGGGCCTGAGAGGAGAGAACATTTGGGGGCGTATTGCCAGAGTGGGCAGGCTTTGGTGGCTGATTAGATAGACAGGCTGGAGGGGGAAATTGAGGACTCCTCTGCTCTGAAGACCTTTCTCGAGTCATTTGGTGAGAGGTGCTGTGAGGAGAGGCAGGGCTCCCAGGGGACATCACTTCTCAGCAGCTGTGGGTCCAAATCCAAATAGTCATGTCGTATTGGCAGCCAGAGGGGTAGCTGGAGCCCCAAAAGCCGGAAGGGGTAAGGACACAGCAGGATGATTTCAAGCAACATATAGTGATGGCCCAGTGGGGAATCCTGGGCCAGTCAGAAACATTGGCCACTCACTGACCGCTTTGAGACAGAGACTTCAAGCTAAGTGGTTTCCAGGCTGTGAGGTGGATACGAGAGCAGAGCCAGTATCTGGCACAAATAATTACAGTTACTTCATGTTCCGGGACACATTATCTGTTTTGAACCTCACAGCTACCTTCTGAGGTATCATCTATAACAAGAAGAGTTGACACTGAGAAAGGTTCACTTGCCCAAGTCACACTGTAAGAAGTGGCAGAGCCTGGACTGAATTCAGGTTGATCAGCCTCGTAACTGGGCCTCCTCCCGTGACCCTGCTACCTGGCATGACCAGCACAAGTAGCAGATGTCGTCGAGCAGAGGGCTCGAGGCTGGAATGTGTGGATGGACAAGAACCTGGTGAGATGTCAGACCTTGTCACCACGGTATGATCTTGTCAGTGGCAGCATCTTTGAACTCACAAAATAACTAACGTAAAATTTTATAATTTTAGGGGCCAGCCCGGTGGTGCAGCGGTTGAGTTTGCAAATTCCGCTTCGGCAGCCCAGGGTTCGCCAGTTCGGATCCCGGGTACGGACATGGCACCGCCTGGCAACCCATGCTGTGTCAGGCGTCCCACATATAAAGTGGAGGAAGATGGGCACGGATGTTAGCTCAGGGCCAGCGTTCCTCAACAAAAAGAGGAGGATTGGTGGCAGATGTTAGCCCAGGGCTAGTCTTCCTCAAAAAAAAAAAAACATTAAAAAAAATTGTTACAATTTTAGTAAAGAGCTTTTGCACATCCATTATCTTCCAAGATCCTTACGACGACCTTGAGTAAATCTTACCTACATATTATGGGTGAGAAAATGGAAGTGTGGAGAGGTGAAGGGATTTGGCTGAGGCCACACAGTTAGCAAGCTGCAGAGCCAGGACGGAACCCACGGCTTTTGAAATTTATTTCGTGGGACAGTCATCGTAACTTGTTATTGATAAGGAAAGCTGATCAAAATCAGGACTAAACCTGCTTTAGCTGGGAAGGAGGATGTACCCAGGTGGTGGCGTCCAAAGTAGGATTCCTGCATCCTTAGCACCCTCTGAGGTTTGTCTTCTAATTCCTTAAGTGAATAATGTCCTGCCCACCAAATGGAATTTAGCGGTTCTTTTTCCTTCCCTTTTGACTGATATTATCACGATGGGAGGTTGCTAAAAATTAAATTTTTGGTAAATGTGTATCATTTTTAGAAAGAAGTTTTCCCCTTTCCAGAAGTTGGCCAAGAGGAACTTAATGAAATCAACCAGTTTGTGGCACCTGTAGAAAAATTCTTCACTGAAGAGGGTATGTATGATTATTTATCATTACCAATTTCCATTTTAAGGGTGATTGCTTTTGTATTTGAATTAGAAGTAATATCCATAGAGGAAACTCTCTTGAGTGTCACTGATCATGGAGAAGTAGTATCTATTGATATTTTGCTTTAAGGGTCGTCCCAATTGCTATTTGTACTTCTCAGTGTATCCATGGTGAAGAACCACTTTTAAACATTTCCAAACTGTCACAGACTGATGCTTTTATAAAATACAATAGAAATGAACAACTAGAAAGATGAAATGGAAAAAAGCTGAGGACATAGAACATACGAGCCCATTGATCATGTGCTTGGTTGTGTGACAATGTAAAATTGCTGTAAATCTTTCTAAAGGTTTACTCTCATTTTCTGTACTTTGCTTATCATGAACCAGGAGTAGTTGTGGACCAGCAGCGGCCTACAGCCTGCAGGGTCCCCCCTTGCAGTGGTCAGCATGCCCTCGGCAAAGGCAGCTGCCTCCACCTAAGGGAGCCCACTGGAAGTTCAGTGATGAGGCTGACAGTAGTGCTCCTCCGACACTGAGGACCCCCAAGACTTCTTGTTTATGTGGGTGTTGTCTACCAGTATGTGCCCTGTTAGAAATTAAAACTGCGAAATTTAAAAAAGGCTGTGTTCATTTATTACTGCATTTAAAAATAATGATAAATCTGGTACATGACGTAAACAATATTCTTTTTTAAAGATTGGCACCTGAGCTAACAACATGCCAATCTTTTTTTCTTTTTTCTTTTTCTCCCCAAATCCCCCCAGTAGATAGTTGTATACTTTTAGTTGTGGGTCCTTCTAGTTGTGGCATGTGGGGTGCCACCTCAACATGGCCTGATTAGCGGTGCCATGTCTGTGCCCAGGATCCAAACCAGCAAAACCCTGGGCTGCTGAAGCAGAACGCTCGAACTTAACCACTTGGCCATGGGGCTGGCCCCACATAAACAATATTTTTAATGAAAAATATTTCTAAAACCATAAAAAGTGGTGAAGGGTGGCATTATTTTACAGTTTTGAAAATTTTTAAAATATTTGGCTTATTAGAAGACAGCTGGATTCTCATATCTATTTCTGTATTTAATGTGTGTTATGTATCATGTAGCCCCTGGAAAACTCCTGTACACACAGAATTAGAAATTAACAAGGCAAAGAACATCTTTGTCTTATTATTAAAATAGTTTTTTTTTTTTTGAGGAAGATTAGTCCTGAGCTAACTACTGCCAATCCTCCTCTTTTTGCTGAGGAAGACTGGCCCTGAGCTAACATCTGTGCCCATCTTCCTCTACTTTATATGTGGGACGCCTACCACAGCATGGCATGCCAAGCTGTGCCATGTCCACACCCGGATCGGAACCAGTGAACCCCGGGCCTCGAGAAGCAGAACGTGTGAATTTAACCGCTGTGCCACCGCGCCGGCCCCTGATTCCTTTTATATAAAGCTCAAAAATGGAAACTAATCTATAGACAAAAAGGGAATTGGTAGTTGCCTAGGGTTGGAGATGGAGGGAAGGATTGATCACAGAGCAGTACAAGGAACCTTTTTGTGGAAAAGGAAATGTTTTTGGTTGATTGCAGTGATGGTTTTATGGGTGAACAGATGTTGGAACTCAACAAATTATATTCTTGAAATGTGTGCAGTTTATTGTTTGTTAATTATGTGTCAGTAAAATTGTGAAAGTAAATAAAAAATGAAAGGTTTGGACTCCATTTTGAGGAATCCATATTTCTTATTAGTGGCGCAGTGTATAAAAATTTTATAATTGTAGGTTATGGTGATTTTAAAAATGTATGATAGTGATGAAGTTTAATTTGTTAAATTTTTGAAAAGCACTCTAACTTGATTCAGGCAAAAGTGTGCAGTTAAAGACCTAAGGCTAGTGATTGTTCAGTTTTACGCTAACGAATATGAGTCTTGGTGGTAAACAGACTAAAGTGTTCTCAGAGCCTGTGGACTGTGGTGACAGAGGAGTGGTTTCTGAGCACTGGGTCAGTCTCAGCCCAGGCATTACCTAGAGTTTGGCTGTCGAGCTGAACATTTTAGGACAGTTCTGGGAGTTGCTTACTATCTAGTTTTATGGAAGGTACTGGTAATAAAAAAAAATGTCAAGTTTAGTAAATTCTTACAGAAAAGTTTACATCTTATGAATGTATAATTTGCTGTAGTTTTATGCAATGAATAAACCCATGTGAATGGTACCCAGATCAAGAAACAGAACATTACTTGGTACTGGTATTTTTAAAATGCAATTCTTGCTGGGCTAATTAGGTGAAATTGAGCACATCCTGAATGGACCATGACTGGACAATTTCCAGTTTTGAAGTTTCTGATACTCGGGTTGTATCCTATGCAAAAACTGGTGTTTACTATTATTTTTATAAACATAGCTTGTGTTTGTTTAATCAAGATACTTCCTCTTGGCAGTGGACTCTCAAAAAATTGACCGGGAGGGAAAAATTCCACATGAAACTTTAGAGAAGTTGAAGAGCCTGGGGCTTTTTGGAATGCAAGTCCCAGAAGAGTATGGTAAGTAAAGGAGATCACCACCCACTGGTTGCCTCTTGAGAAAGCTTTCTATATTTGTCCAAAAAAGTGCTCTGGTCAGGAAAGGTAGCCTTTAAAGGTATTTAAGATCAAGCTGTAACACTGCTGGTATGAACAGAAACACCCATTGTGGGCTAAATACGGGGTGCTGGCTGGTGAGTGCATGTGGACTGGGTAGGGGACTTCTAGGCAGGAAGAGCTATTGAGTTCTGCACTCTTTGTCCGAGATGGATAAGGACCCTGAAGGTGGCTGTGCTCTCTGGGTCCCTGTGGGCAGTGGAGGAGCAGTGTGTGTAACCTCAAAGCCGAGTTGGCTGATGTCAGCGTCATCTCCACCAGGAAGCCCTTAGTTCTCCCTGGCAGAGGCTTTTCCCCCAGAGCCAAGAGCACTTTGTGTTGGAGGAGTAACCATATGGGGAGAGCTCAGGCGGAGCCCACCAGGCATGGCTGCTCATTATGGTGCAGAGGAGTAAGGCGTATGGCTATAGGGCACAAGGCACATTGAGATGGGAGATTCGACAAGCCGGAACCTTGGAACAGGGCTCTTTATCCTTAGGACTGTCTGCGTAATTCTTGCAGCATTGCAGTGATATGTTTAGCCCCAGGTGAAGACCTTGGCTTTCTCCCCGGAATCCCAGTGTAATTCTGCCTTACTACCCTTAGCCAATCACTGCAGCTTGTCTCTTACCTAATGCAGAGGTGGTCATCCCTGTTCTGTGGGGTTAAGGGGACAAGCAAGAAGTGCGTGTTGGGGCAAGGAATGGAAACTGTTTCATCAGGACAGGACATAGTCATGTGTGTGCAGGCATGCATGTGCACATACCATATATGTTTACTCTCAGGTCCTTTTGAGATAAAAGTGTGCTCTTGGCTCTGCAGCCTTTGCCCCGCACCCACTGCTCTCTGAGCCCTCCCCCTGGGCCTTTACTGGGGCTGCTTCCAGCTTTGATCAGCTCAGGGCCAGGGGTTCGGGGAGAGCTGTAGGTGGTGGTGATTTAAGGGCTGGGCACATTTCGTGGCTGTGAGCTGGTCATTTGGAGGTTTAATATTTTGGGCATTTTCCCACCAGGTCGTGAGTTAGGTTTTAAACAGAACGTTGCAGAAGCCGGGAGCTTTTCTTGATGTTCTGTCTCCTTGCCTGGTTCATCTCCAGAGACTAAGGTTAGGCTGTCCTCCTGCAGCCAAGGCTGGGGGGCCCTCGATGTACGTAGAGAAAGTTTCCTCTGGTACCTGGTCTGGAGCTGGTCCCAGTCTGAGACAAAATGTGAAAATTTAGGACAAATTAGTGTGATGCCTGATTTTCTTGATTCTGAGGCATATTTTAATCAGGTTAAATCATAGATTATGTATATGTTTATTGCAGTGTTTTAAGCTGTTGAAAGATGTATCTGACTTGTCATCCTATGAAATACCTCCACCACATTTCCAGACTTTTAAAAGAATTCCCCTATCTCTGCAGAATACGTAAAATAATCAGTGGGGCTGCCCCTGGGGGTGGGCACAGTGGCACAGACCTCTGCAGGGGGAGCTGAGCTGCCTGTGCTTCTCTTCACAAAAATCCACAGCCTGTAGGAAGGTAGGGGAGGACTGAGCTCCTCCCAGACATCTGAGACTTGTGGGTGTTGTAACTCACAGGCGACCGAGGAACTGTGTGCCATAACAGGAGGGTCACAGGAGGGCCACCTCGAATGTTAGACTAGAAGGAAGGTGGGGTGGAGCCAGAGAGAGGTGATTGGTCTGTCATCAGCTCAAAAAAATAAGTGCCTGGAGAAAACAATTAGCCAAGGAAAGGTGCTCAAAATAGCCAGGATGGTAGTAATACGTATTTCCTTTTAGGATCATTTTGAAATTACTTCTGGACTGATGAAAAGTACTTAATTTTCCCCCGAAACACCTTCTGTGTGAAGTTGGGCTATGTCTTTTTGCATCTGCGTGTGTTTTATGCCAGCATGGACAGGGAGTCTGGCAGTGTGACGTTGCACAGCTCTCCATCCTTATTCCTGTCTCCTAGCCTACACTCTGGTGTGAAAATGAGATGGTAATGGTTTGGGGCCATTTCATTTTCTGTCTTTTTTTCTTATCCTTCCTTGGGAAATTAGGGCAACAACCTTATGTTCATGCCCAAAAAGTTGTAGGGAGGTTTTCCCAGTCTGGAGCATTCGAAAGACTGGAAACTGCTGTCCTGGAAAGTGGTGGCCTTCCCACCAGCTGAGCCTGCGTGCTCCCCCCAGCACCCTGCGTGCTGCCCAGCCTGCTGGTTTGGGGCTCCCTCCTGCCTCTCAACCCGCCCCCACAGCAGTCTCCACCCACCTGCCATCTGTACCCGTGTGATTGCCATCCCCCCATGATTTTAGTGATAGTTGGTTGAGGAGAAAGCATCAGAAGTTTTTTTAACAAACGAAACTGACTCCTTCTGTATATGAAATGAGTAAACATGTTTGGACTGAAACAGAGGCAAGCGGTGGTTACTGCAGAGCCCTGGCCTTCCCCTGGTACCGTCACTGAACCCAGGGCACTACAGGCCCAGCTGGGCCACTGCACGCCCCTGCAGGGACACCCTTCCATTTGTGTGAATGGCGCCCTCTGCAGATGGGCTGCGTGCTGGCTCCAGGGCCATCGCCCATACTCCTGAGTGGAGGGCCCACCGCTACTGCGTGTCGGCCGCATGCCCGTAGGCATCAGTGTGTCATTTGTAAGATACACATAAGGCCACTCAACCGCCTCTGGAAGTTGAAGATGAAACACAGAATACTCGAGTTCAGTGGAGTTTCTGCTTTCTTAATCTTTTTGTCTTTTTATTCCTAGAATTGTGATTCCCAGCTGGCATGATTTTGCCCTCCAGGGGACATTTGGCAATATCTAGAGACGTTTTTGCTTGTTGCAACTGTGGGGGAGGAGGAACTACTGCCATTTAGTGGGTAGCAGCCCAGGATGCTGCTGAACATCCTACAGGGCACAGGACAGTCCCCATGACAAAGTGTGATCCATCCCAAAATGTCAGTAGCGCCAAGGCGGAGAAACCCCGTCCTAGAGTCCAGTAGATCCTGGGAGTGGGACACTGGACAGCTGTTATGTTTGTAAAGATGTGTGTCTGTGACAGGACCTCTCTACAGCATATTAAATGACTTAATGTATGTATAGGTATTTTTATGTTTTTGTATTAAATATTATATTTTTATTTCAAAAATATGTATCTGTATATGCTTATATGCCTAGAAAAAGTATGAAAAGATGTACACAAAAATGCTCTGAGTGATAAGTTTATGGGTAGTTTTTGTTTTCTTCATACCTTTATTGTGATTTTTTTTTAAATGGTGATGTAGCATTACTTTATAATCAGAAAAAACCCATAAAGCCATTTGCCTTTCCTGGAGGAGTTTGGGGCTAGACCATAAGTAAAGCTGGTCTGTTGCTTCTCTAGGTGGCCTGGGCCTCTCCAACACCATGTACGCGCGGCTAGGGGAAATCATCAGCCTGGACGCATCGATCGCCGTGACCCTGGCAGCACACCAGGCTATCGGCCTCAAGGTCAAGTTTCTGGGGTTTCTGTCTGTGTGGTGCTGTCTGCAGGTCTTCTGGAGTCAAATGGTGGCGTTAGGGCAGGAGACTTGCTCATTTTTACCAAGAAGTGAACGGGCTGGCCGTCTCAGGGTCTTGGAGGGCGCATCCTGCTCATGCAGCCTCGCCCTGCAGTGCCTTCCTCCTGCACGTCCTCTCTCTAGCCATGCCATATGGTGCTCAATCTTCACGCAAGCCAACAGCCCTTTGATCACACTGGTCCTTCCCTTTGAATCCTCTTCCTGTCCCCATCACCTTTGACCCATCCTTTGAGACCAGGTCAGATGCCCCTGCCGCTATGGGGCCTGCCTTCCCCTTGGGCTGGAAGTGAGCCTGCCCCCTGAGCTCGGTGTTACTCACTGGGGGCCCGAGTGTGTCCTCCTGCTGTTTGTGCCCACGCTTTCCTCACCCCGGTGGGCTCAGAGCATGTTAGGGTAGATCTAGGGTCACACAGCTCTTGGTGACAGTACTTGGTGGTTTTTGCTCAAGGTAAATGTTAAGGGGAGCTGAATGAGCAACTTGCTCGGCCTCCCAACCCTGAGCGCACACGTGGAGAGTGGACTCACCCACCTGCACTGACTGAGGAGGGCGTGGGACAGTCTGACATTGACTGAGCACCTTCTTTATGCCACGTGGCTCTGGCACTCCTGCATCTTCATGTTTTATCATCCAAACCACCCCTCCATTGTGTAGGGTCATCCCCAGTGTGGAGGTAGTAAGATGGAGACTCAGAGAAAGGACATCCCTGCCGCTGGCCACCCATCCCAGAAATGGAGGAGCTGCGATGACGGTTGCCAAGTCTGACCCAAAGCTCTGTCGGTTCTCTGGGCTCAGGCTGCCCTGGAGTGTGCACTTGAGGTGGCTCCCTGGCACCTGGCTCCCCGTTTTCCCCAGCAGCTCCCCATTTTTTACCAGAGGGTGCCAGCTCTGAGCTCTTGCGTAAAGTAGGTATTTTCTTCAGAAGGAGCTGTGTTCTGCAAGCACGTTTCACACTCTTTTCTCCCCGCAGCTGAAATCAGCCTGTGTGTTTTGTGTAGGGGATCATCTTGGCCGGCAGTGAGGCGCAGAAGGCCAAATACCTGCCCAAACTGGCATCTGGGGAGCACATCGCTGCCTTCTGCCTGACGGAGCCAGCCAGGTCTGCCCCTCAGCGAGGAGTCACGTGACAGCAGCTTGGGCACCCTCCAGCGTGTACTGGGACCTGGGACTGTGGTTTAGATGGTGCCTTATTTCTTCCCTCCCTGAAATCTTCCAGAGTCAACTCAGCAACTTTTCTTGCCAGTTCTCTTCTCTTTTTTTTTTTTTTTTAAGATTTTATTTTTTTCCTTTTTCTCCCCAAAGTCCCCCGGTACATAGTTGTTTATTCTTAGTTGTGGGTCTTTCTAGTTGTGGCATGTGGGACGCCGCCTCAGCGTGGCTTGATGAGCGGTGCCATGTCCACGCCCAGGATTCGAACTGACGAAACACTGGGTCGCCTGCAGCGGAGCGCACGAACTTAACCACTCGGCCACGGGGCTGGCCCCGCCAGTTCTGTTATCTTTATTCCTCTGCCCCAGTGAGACTTACAAGTGAGATGACACACCTGACAGCACCATTAAATAATTTTTTCGTGATTTGCAAGAACTTTCCATACGATAATGCATTCAGGCTTCAAATCAACTTTCAGAGTGTGTAGGGCCAGTGGTGTTGTCTCCATTTTACAGATGAGGAACTGAGGTTCATTGAGATTGTGTGATCAGCCCAGTCACACAGCTAGGACATCATAAGGCTGGTGCAGGACTCTGGACTTCTGATGGCAAGACTGCTAAGTGGTCCAAACTCCATCCTGCTTCCCCACCCTTGGGAACCTGGCGTCTCCTGAACTCGTCCTCACAGGAGCTTAGATGAGCCTGTTTTGAGCACACGTTTCTGTGTTTAAACCTAAACCTGAGTTGTTTTCACTGCTGCTTTTTTTTTTTTTAAAGATTGGCCCCTGAGCTAACAACTGTTGCCAATCATCTTTTTTTTCTGCTTTTTTCCCACAAATCCCCCCAGTACATGGTTGTATATTTTAGTTGTGGGTCCTTCTAGTTGTGGCATGTGGGATGCCGCCTCAGCATGGCCTGATGAGTGGTGCCATGTCTGTGCCCAGGATCCGAACCGGTGAAACCCTGGGCCGCCGAAGCGGAGCCCGCAAACTTAACCACTCGGCCATGGGGCCAGCCCCTCACTGCCACTTTTTTACCTGATGTGTTAAAGCAGGTGTTGGCCAAGTCCAGCCTGCCACCTGTTTTTGTAAATAAAGCTTTTCTGGAGCATGCCCGTTTGTTTACAAATTGTCTGTGGCTGCCCTCATGTCACAACTGGCAGAGTTGAGTTGGGACATACTTCTGTAGTTTGCAAGGCTGAATATATTTATCATCTGGCCCTTTATTTTAAAATTTGCCAACTCCTGTATTAAATTACTAAAAGCCTCTATTTTGGGGCCCTCAAAACCATTCTTCTTCATTCCCAGTATTACTGTCCTCCATATTTTTGTCCTTGCAGTGGGAGTGATGCTGCCTCCATCCAGACCAGGGCCACGCTAAGTGAAGATAAGAAGCACTACGTGCTCAACGGCTCCAAGGTACGGTTCCAGGGCCGCCTCGGGGCTCTGTCATGACCTGCGCCACCACACACTGACCACTGTCTATGCACCAGGGATCATAAAGGGCATACACATCATCCCTTGACCACCCGTTGGGTGGATGCTACTCTTTTTTGGAAGAAGAAATTGCTTCAGAGAGGTTAAGTGACTTGCCAGCATTGTATGTCTGCTTAGTGGCAGAGCCTGGATTGGAACCCAGGCCTTCTGGCTCTACAGTCTGCATGCTTCCATAGTACCAGCTACCACCTTGAGCTGCTCTCTGTGTTTGTTGTTTAATTTTTTTATTACACAGGTTTTGAAACATAGAAAAGTTTAGTGTGACGAGCTCCCACTTACCCGTCGCCCAGCTTCAGCAGTTGTTAGCTCACAGCCAGTCCTGTTTCTTCTGTCAGCATCACCACTCCTGGCTTGCATCCATAATGGTTTCGGCATGTATCTCTACAGGATAGGACTATTAAAAAACAAAGTCACAATACCATTACTACATTTAAAAAGTGGATAATAATTTCTTACTATCTAGGTAGCATTCAAATTTCTGATTGTCTTGTACCGTTTTGTTTTTCAAACAATTTGCTTGAATCAAGACCCAAGTAAGTTCTGCACGTGGTAGTTTGTTGAGAAGTCTCTTGATTTCTCCCTCTCCCTCTTCCTTCCCCGCCTTTCTCCTTTCTGCCTCCTTCCCACCCCTCACTCCCCTTTCTTGAGGAAACCCAGTTGTTCCGTGCTAGACCTGGGCTGTCTTGGTACCGTTGGCTGCTCTTCTATGCACAAGCACACACCCCGGGCCACCTGTGTCTCCTGCGACAGTCCTTGCTCCGGGGAGACTGGGCTGAGCCCCGTCTTCTGTTCGCACAGGCCTGGCTTCCTCAGAGCCAAAGGCTTACATCATGGCCTGAAGTTTGACAGGCAGCCGAAGTGTCTTGTGGCAAAGATGTTGCTGAGAGGTGGCCCACGATTGTTTGGTTTCCTACAAAGCCCTTTTGCTTCCTTTCCTTAGGTCTGGATCACCAATGGAGCACGGGCCAATATTTTTACTGTTTTTGCAAAGACCAGCATTGTTGATTCTGACAACTCAGTAAAGGACAAAATTACAGCATTCATAGTAGAGAGGGACTTCGGTGGAGTCACTAACGGGAAACCTGAAGATAAGTTAGGCATCCGTGGCTCCGACAGTAAGTAGCACGTGTGTGTGTGTAGGAGAGAAGGAGGGAGGGAGGGAAAGAGACCCTTTAGCTGCAAAGAAGTATCAAGATAAAATGAGATTTAAATAGTTTTGGTTCCACTTAAGCGTTTTAACAAAATCAAATTAAGAACGCCACAGTGAGGGGCCAGCTCGGTGGTCTAGTGGTTAAGTTCGTGCTCCGCTTCAGCAGTCTGGGGTTCGCAGGTTCAGATCCCAGGTGCAGACCTAGCGCTGCTTATCAAGCCATGCTGTGGCAGCATCCCATATAAAATAGAGAAAGTTTGGCACAGATGTTAGCTCAGTGACAATCTTCCTGAAGCCAAACAAGGAAGACTGGCAACAGATGTTGGTTCAGGGCCAATCTTCCTCAGAAAAAAATAAAGAATGCCACAGTGACATATTGAGCATTGGTGATTTCAAGGTAAAATAATTACAATGTCATAGAGCTCTCAGCCCTGTGAGGGAGGCTGTGGTGGACAGTGAGAAGGACAGTGGGCTGTCCTCGGTAAGCACTCCATTACAGGATACCCCGTCTTCCCTGCCTGGAACCTTGTCCTCCTGCTCGCTCTCCCTTTTACCCGCCCAGCCCACCTGTAGCCCCCTGGTCAGCAGTTGATTCACTGAGGCTGGTGTCCTCTAGCCCTCAACCCGCCCAGTGCTGCCGTGGAGTCCTCATAAGACTCTCCCTCGTCGGTCTCCTGGTTCAGATCATAGAGTATCTGTGTTTCAAGGGGGCATGTGCCACACTTGGCCCCTCCCAACCCACTTGTTTGCCACCTTTGCTTTGGTGACCCTGGTTCTGGATGGCGCTGTCTGCCACGACATCTGCTTAGCCTTAGGGGTCAGAGGGCCCCCAGCTCTAACCTGGCTCTGCCACTTAGAAGCTGTGTGACCTTGAACAAGCTAGTTTACTTCCCTGTGCTTGTTTCCCCCCTAAAGGGAAGGGGTGATAAGAGAACCCACCTTGTGAGGGAGACGTGAGAAGGGAGTGTTAGGACTTGTGTAGGGCATGGGGAAGCACAGCAGTGTTAGCTGCTGCTGGTAGGACGTTCACTTTACACCCAGTGCGGCCTGCTGAGGACGGACTCAGAGTGTTCCAGGAGAGAAACGAGTGTGCTATAAGGCCTGAGAGAGAAATAGCTTGGTGTGCTGATGGGGAAAAGGTGGCCAGAGTGCCTGAGGTGGAGGGAGGGAGCAGGGTTGCTGCCATGCACTACTGCGGGGCCACTGTCCACACTGAGGTCTGGGTAGGTGGTGCCCACTGGGATTGTGCAGTGGCCTGTGAGGGGATGTCAAGTGGCACAAGATGAGATCAGAGAGGGGCAGGGCCCTCCCCATACCCAGCAGCCCGTGAAGGAACAAGAGTTATTAAGAGAAGGGCCTGGCCTCACAGCCGGAAATAGGCCAGAGAGATGGAAATTTCACTGTGTTTCACAACCAGGCTATTTGAACACGTTGTAATAGTAGAATGAAAGGTCAGCAGACCCCTGGTTGCCCACACTTGGCTTGGCTGCTGCTTGGCTCCTCGAACCATGGCCCTCTGTCCCAGGCCTCCCTTTTCTCCAGTGGAAGTTGCTGGGAGCCGCCGTGTTATATACAAAAACATGCTGTTACAGAAAACACAGTGCAGAAGCCTCTGTCCCTTCCCTGCCTGCCCTCGCCCCTGCCACGCTGGTTCTGACTGCTGCTCACTCACACTGACCTTGGCCGCCTCCAGCGCGCATGCGCTTCCTCACTTTAAGGTCTGCTCGTCGTCCATCCATGCCATAACCCTGTCTGAGAAACCTCCCCAGAAGTCGGCATTTGTTCCCTCTAACGGGCCACGGCTGTCTGAGGCAGTCTGCTTCAGGCTGGGGGCTGCATTCAGGTCTGCTGGTGTGTACTTGGTACTGAGCTGGGGCTGCTTTTTACAGCAGATCGCAAGGGCCTGAGGGCTGCGCCAGGTTGTGTCAGCACAGGGGAGGCCGCAGGCCTCAGCAAGTCACATGGCCAAACCCATTGGGCGGAGGAAGGCAGGCTGCTCCTCCCGCAGAGCCAGGGCAGGCTGTGGCTGTGGTAAGGTAGAGTTCAGTGGGACTGATCTTCCCTTTCCGTCCAGCACAGGGACCTTAGGCAGTGCCATGCCACCTGGCCTCGTTGCTCCATCTCTGGCTCTTTCTCATCCTTCAGACTTCACCTTAGAAAAATCTGATGTATATCCTTAGTAAAGGTATTGTTATCTGCTGTCCTCCAGCCTCCATTTGTCTCACCAGGCCATATTTATTTCTTCCATGGCTCTTACCACAATATTATATCATCTCGTTTCTAGTTTCCCTCCCCAACCAAAGTATGAGCTCCACATGGACGGGACCGTGTCTTTCTGTGTTGTCCTGTCAGTAGATGGAGAGTGAGTGAGTGAATGAAGGAGTCGCATTGCTTGCCTGTGGGTCAAGTGCAGCGTGGTTCGCGTTGTCAGCTAAGGCCCTCACTTGTGTGTGTTTCAGCTTGTGAAGTCCATTTTGAAAACACCAGGGTGCCCGTGGAAAACGTCCTTGGAGAAGTCGGAGGTGGGTTTAAGGTGAGTTGCCAGCAGCCCTGCGAGTGCTGTGCAGTTTTGTGGTGTGGTTGTGGGCCCCCAGCTTTCTGTCCCTCCCCTACTTGTAGCCGACCAGCCTGTGCTTGCAGGGGACCGTGCGTGGCTCTCCACTGGGGAGTCAGCAAGTGTGAGGCTTCATTTGCCTTGAGTGGGGACAGGCTTCCTTTCTCCAGCGAGTGCGAGAAAGCAGGCCAGCAGGCACTGGAGAAGCTCAGGTCTCTGAATGCACAGCCCTGGGTCCTGAGTCCCTGCTCTAATTTTTCTTTCTTGGAGTGAGGTTTATTATTTGTTTTGTTAACAGTTAATTCACCTAACATAAGTTCACCGTTTGCAAAGGTACACTTCAGTGGCTTTTAGTGTATTCACTATGTCCTACAGTCATCACCATGGTCTAATTCGAGTACATTTCCATCGCCCAGGAAAGAAATGCCATACCTGCTCAGTTCCCTGCCCCCCATCCCTTGGCAACTGCTGTTTTGCTTTCTGTTTCTATGAATTTGCCTGTTTTGAACATTTCACATCAGTGGACCCCTTTGTGGTCTTTTGTGTTTGGCTTCTTTCGTGTAGCACAGTGTTTTTAAGGCTCATCCAAGTTGTAGCTTGTCATTCCGTTCTGTGGCTGAGTAATATTCCATTGTGTGGTAGACTGCATTTCGTTGATCCGTTCATCACTTGATGGATATTTGGGATGTTTCCACTTTTTGGCCATTATCAGTAACGCTGCTATGAACATTCATGTACATATTTTGTGTGAAAATACATTTTCAGTTCTTTTGGATATAGGTCCAGAAGTGGAATTACTGGGTCGAATGATGACCGCATGTTTAAGTTTGTGAGGAATTGCCAGACTGTTCCCCAGTGGCTGCACCACTTTCCGTTCCCACCAGCAGTATGTGAGGGCTCGTTTCTCCACCTGCTCAGTGACACTGATACTTGTTACTGTCCGTTTTTAAAATTAGAGCCATCTCAGTGGGTGTGAAGTGGTGTCACTGTGGTTCATTTGTATTTCCCTAATGACCAATCGTGTTGAGCATCTTTTCATGTGCTTGTTAGCCATTTGTATATCTTCTTTGGAGAAATGTCTTTTCAGATCCTTTGCCCATTTTTAAATTAGGCTGTCTTTTTATTGTTGGCCTGCCCTAATTTACTGGATGGCCTGGGTAATATCTTCACGGCACCCCCACCTGCTGTGAAGCAGGGATCAAAGCAATACCTTCCTCCCCTCCCGGGTGTCTTGAGAGTCAGATAAACACCATCAGCCAAAGCTCCTGTCACCGGCTGCTCAGTGACTGTGGAACAGAGGATTGGAGAGGTGGAAAGACAAACAAGGAAACAATCTTTGCAGTGATACGTTTGATTATTATTTGTGTAACCCAGATGTTACACACAAATTAGTGAATATAGACAGAGAAAAGTGAAATCACCTGAAGCTGTCCCCAAGCCAGTAGCCATTCACTGTTCACGTTTTGGGGTACTTAGTTTTCTAGATCTTTTAAGAGTATACATCACTTAAATGTTTAGTATGTGTAATATAGCCTTCATTTTTTCACTTATCAATAAATCCTAATAATCTCTTCATGCTACTGAGTGTATATTACTAGTGTTTAATGCGGTATCATATTTCTTTGTGTGGTGATGCCACAATGAATGTTACCAGGTTCCTGGGATCGGGCACTTAACACTATTCTCACTT